AAACAAACATTGAATTTGTGGGCTTTGATATATGTGAATTGGCGAACTTTTTTTACCCTGTTTTGTCTCAGTTTCAAACTTCTTTTTATCCCGGTCCGAATGATACCGGCCCATTTGGAATGATGACTTAGCCCGAACAGGTTCATAAGAATGGGACATGCCAAATCCTGGACCCTCCCGAACCACGCTAATCCCTAAGCATAAGACCAACCCTCAAGCTTAGTAGATATAGAGAAGAAAGTATAAGGTCAAACCACATGGCTCGATAACTAGATACATAGTAGCATAAGGCCGAGGTAATACACTCGATTTTTAAGAACAAAAATCTAGTGTAAAGTAGAGCTAGTAAACTCAACAGCTATAAAAAGTATTGCACTATAAATCCAAACTTCTAGCTCGGTAAGCTAAAGCAAAGTAGTAATGTTTGGTAGCTGAGATCGATACAAAATCATAACGTCGATTTGATAGCTTAATGCCTGTAGTATGAAGCCATGCTAATAAGCTCTAAGACTAAGATAAGTAGGTACCACAAATATGAGATATTAGCTTGCTATTTACAATTGCATAAAACTATCTACACAAGCCAACAATGTGTGAAAAGATAAAAGGCAAGCTATTGTTCTGGTAGTTGTAACGAAAAGCGTAGGTCCGAGACCTTGGTTCAGTTGTGATAAAGAACATAAAACTGACCTCTTGGTCGTTTATTTTGAGTAGGGTCTCAAGTTAAAGGTTTCGATGTAACAAATGTTCTAAGAAGACTGTTCCAACAAGCATTTACTGCCTAACATATTGAAAACTTCAACATAATAGGTCTATGTGGCCTTGACGAGTTCAAGACCTATACACCATCCTGCGAGATAGAGTTGGTCAAATAATGATTGTTCTACTCTTACAAGAGTCTCTAACAAGTTTACCTAGAGTGGGGATACTAGATGATGTAACATCTGTAATATTAGTCTGGTTCGACATGGGTTCTACAGTTTAAAGTTACATTATATGTGAATAACTGTTAAAATTTAGGAAATAGATGGTCAAGTAAATTTATGTATATCTACACATTGATTATGAAGGAATGAGTTCATTGAATAGCAAGGAAATTACTTGCCTTGTGAAGTAAGTCATTAAATCCATCATAAATAATCGATCTAGTGTCACTTTCTAGCTCTCAATAATATTTCTTGACTACATACTTTGAGAATAAAATTTATGACTTGAACATCAAAATGTCGACGATAGGGCGTGCCCTAACAATGCACGTACAAAACGTTCGAGACGAGACGGTTAACCTGAGAATTTTGGTGAATTGATAATCAAGTGGACCTCTCACGACAAAGGTAACTTAAAAAAGGTTTCATTATTCAAGCAAGTAAAGTTGGAAGAAAGAAACTAACGCTCTCTCTCTAAACACATTTCTCTCTACCCCCAAATCCGCCGCCTCCCTCTTTTCCTACTGCGTGCGATCCTTCCTCAGTGGCTTGTCGGACCTGCCAGTGGTCGTCCTTTGGCCGCACGACCGTGGCCCCGAAGGTGCGCTTTCCTGGTTCGGCCGCGCTGGGGGATGTGGCCAACCGTCCGCGGCCGGGTTTCTCTGAAAATCTGGTGCCAGTTTGTGGTCGAGGTTCGCTGGCGTCCTTGATGTTGCGGTGGTTCTGTGTGGGTGTGGCAACGGGGGCTCGACGTCGCTACCAGCGGCGTCTCGGGCTGAGGTACCCCTCTTGCTTTCTATTCCTCTGTTTCCCTAGTGTTGGGTTCGTGAGGAAGCCGGTGTCGCCGGATTTGGCCAGTGGCGTTGGCCGGGTTCGGGTTATTGGTGGTGCGTGGAAGTGAGGTTGGGTTTCCTCCGACGGATGAGCGGGACGTCTCCTGGAGTGGTTTAGATTTGGGTCTCAGCTTCAGTTAAGCTTTTGTCGACAGTTTCAGGAGCGGTTCTTAGACATTGGACTAGTATGTTGGGGTCGGCTCTGTGTCCGCTGTGCTATTTGGTTTTGGTTTATTTGCTGGGAAAGAGTTTTGTTTTGTTAAGTTGGAAGAAAGAAAGAATTACATAATTTAATTAAATTCAATTTAGACCCCTATAAAAATAACAAAATACTTATCATGGACCCAATCGGAGGCAATCCTCGAGAGTACAAAAAAATTATAGGCGTGATTTGTCTGACGATGCCCCCACATGGGATCACACAAATTTATAATTTTATATCCTTCTTTCTTCTCAGGGTGTCTCCAATGGTTAGCTATTTGGCTAGCTATTATGACGTGGAC